TTGGGAACACATTCCTGTGAGATTTGCAGGAGGACCCTGACTCTGCATGTCAAACAAACAAGAAACCCACATGGTCTTTGAGACAGACTGCATCAACCCCTTTTCCTCAAGGTGTAGAAATTTCAGCTGACCTGCTGGTGAATCCTCACTTTTGTCTCATGTAAAAGTAAAACAAGCTCCACACAAGACCCAGGATAAGCACTGTATAGTGGGAAAGTGAAATCTCAGGTTTTCCTGCTGACTTTGAGACCCTTCCTGTGGCATAATGCTTTCAAAGAAAGAGAGATTGCTACAGGCCAATGCATTTCAGCCTTCCCTGCTGTTCCTCTGATGCAAAGCAGATCTGAATTGGCTGCATCAGATATATTTAAGAGAAAAGGCACAATGCTTTGGACTTATTCCTGTAGTGCTTCTTGGGATAGACACCTTAAAGTTAACAGACATTTGGCCACAGACCAGAATCCAGCAATCAAGGACAGTGGAGATTATGGAGATATCTACATTTTGGCTCAGCTTAGGGTTGCACATTTGAACTGAATCTCCCAAGCATAGCAGTAAGAATTAGTTAAAGGTATAATTCCTGATGAGTATAACTATAAAACTGAAGGAATACGTTTCTAGGCACAGCTTCACTTCTCACATAGGAATAACACAACACAGGACTAGAAATAGAGATATTTCTTCCATAGTTGTGTGGGTTCCGTGAGAGCTGTGGATACCAGTGTCCATCCTGCCTTTTCAATACCTGTATGATTTTCAGCACACCTTGACTTCTGAAAAAAATGACAACAACTATTTCATTGTGACCCTGTGTGCTTCCTCTCTCCTGCTCACTGTTTCCAGCTGAAATTCCATCTTTCTTTGCTTCTCCCCACCTTCCCCCCTGTGCTGTGCCCAGCCTATAGTGGCCCTACACCACATACACAGGACAGGCTGCAATTCAAAGGCCGAAAGTTGCTAAAGCGCTTATGCAAGTTAACTACTGTGCCTGCTCAATCCCATGTAATGCAGATTAGTGCTGTCAGCTACTGTTGGGAGAGCAGCTGATGTAACAGGGCTGGCCCTTCCACAGGGAAGCCAGAGGAGATGCTGATGCTGAGGAGATGCTGACCAGCACTGGGAACAGAAACCTCTTGTGCTGCTCCCCAGCTGCTGTCAGAATGGAGGAGTTGGGCACAAAAGCTGGATAAGAAAACCAGGCAAGTTTAGAAATGGTATCACCCCTCTCATTTCAAAAGGAAATTGTCAGCTTTGACCCTGCGCCCCACTTCTGCATTTTAAGTTCCAAAAGACAGATGCAAAAAGACATCCTTACATCAGGACATGAGCCATGGTGAACTCAAGCCACTAGACCCAACTTACATATCAAACAAAAAATCCTAATACATGTTTCCTTCATGTTTCCTTCAAAATCAACACCAAGAGGTCACAGAAAACCATCCAGTTTGGAAGGCCTATTGTCCTTCTGGGCAGGAGAAGATGGAAAGGTGGAGGGAGACCTTCCTGGGAACTTGCACTTCTCTCAAGTCCAATCTAGCAGGATTAATTTACAGCCATTACTCAGGTGAAATGCCCTTTGGCAGCAAGGTGTGTTTACACAGGCCTGCTTATTCCCCGAAAGAGTGCAAATACACTGGGTTCAGATGGCTCACCCCAAAAATTAACGGCACGTTTATTTCAGGATTTCAGCTTTTCCTGTTCTAAAGAGTGCAATAATACGTGTGTCTTGATTTGTAAGAGGTAGCCAGGAGTACAGCATTTCACAGGACACCATTGCTAACCCACCTACAGTAATAACATCCATTTTATCAACCCACACATTATATGACAGTGAAGCAAACATTTTCCACCTCAGCAGGTTTTACGGTCAAATTGCAGATTTTTCTCTTTCTGGTTCATGGCTGATAAAACTTTGACTGATGGAAGTAATAATGACAGAATATGTGATAAGGTGATCTGCCACTGGCTGAGAGTAAGGGCATAGGCACTAAACTTCCTTTAAAAGCC